ATTTGAGTTATCGCGCTTTGTCTTATCGAGAGTTGACTGTATATATAATATTATTTATTTATATTAATTTATATTTATTTATTTTTATGGATTTAATTTCCAATATTTAATATTATATTCATAAGTGAATATCAACAAAAATTTCATTTAAATAATTGACAGCAATTATTAACTAAAACCACCGTTTTTATAAAATTAGCAAAAAAAATTTAATACTCATCCTTAAAATAAAAATTCACTTTGGGAGAAAGAAAAGGAATGCTTTCAAAACGAAATATTCATTTAGTCCCAAAAACGTGTTTGGTCACTTATATAAAAATAAATTGTGTTTATTTTATTTGTTTAGTTGTATTTTTTTTGTATTTCAAATTTTCAGATTCGACTTTAAAATTTTTTCTAAATGAGAAATAGTTTTTTTCAATCAACTTAACAAAACAAAATTTTTATTAAATAAAAAAAATGTAATTGTTGATAGTATATAATTAATGTGGTTTACCACTTTTTGATATCAAATTTTTATCTCAATAAAAGAAAAGGATTAAATTCTATTTCTACAATGTGTAACGTATTAAATAATTAAATTACGTAAATAATCATTTTTCATTGGAATGAAAAAAGGAGGAAAATTTTTGAAATTTTTATTTTCTTGGAAATTAATTTTTATTGAAAGCAAAAAAAAGTTATTGGACTGAAATAAAATTGAACAACGTGAGGTATCTAATGTGAGACATATAATAATAATAATAGAAAAAAAGGAGAGAGAAAAAAAAAGTTGATAGTCATGACGTTATTGGTGTTGCACGATTGGAACTTCTTAGATTTGTGTTTTTTTCCGTATGTTCTTTTTTTTATGGAATAATTAGGTACCATTTACTTTGAATATGAAGAGAGTGGAATTGCGGTTTGGAGTTCCCGGGTAGAGAATATATATATGTATATATATATATATATATATATATATATATTTCTCTTTCATTTTAATGACGTAGATAAACTCGTACATACGTGAGATCGCGAAAGCTATAAGGAAAATCGTCACAGAGGATAATGACACTTTCCGGTAATATTGGACAGGTCAGTTTTTCCTCCTCAACAATTATTATTATGGGGAAAAACTGTATATACACATAAAAACATTATTTATTATTTTTTTAAAAATATTAGAAACATTAAATTTCAAATAAATTTAAAAAATTGTTTTTTGAGTAGAATCAAAAAATTATTTATTATTTTGTTAATAAACATTTAAGGAAAAAATTATACTCTCAGTAAAATACAAAACTTAATAGTTACCAATATTGTTAAAAAACATACAAAAAAATTCTTTTTCAAGAAAATCATAAAAATAATTCGTCATCCATACAATCGAATTTAAGCAAAATAAATATTTTCTCAATAAATACCTATATTTTTTTATGTAATTATTTACTTATTTCATTTGACTACAATTATTTAATTACTTCATTTAACTATTGAATAATAAATAACAGCAACAAAAAAAGTTAAAAAATTTCATTTGATTGAAAAAACAAATAAAGAAAAAAGAGAATAATTAAGGAGAAAAATAATTAAATTATTATAATACTTTAGTTTGACATAAATATTATTATTGAGGGAAAATGTCAAAAAATGAGTACAGGCAATATTTTAATGAATTAATTAATTATTATTTGTGTTAATTTATGAAAATAATAAAATTATTATTCTTCGCTTAATATATTGATTATTGATCTACGATGAGATTAATAGGGATCAGAATAAATATTTAAAAAAAGATCCTCTTAGAAGAATGAGAATTTAATTAAGAAATAATTCTTTCTTGATTGATTTAAATTAATAATGAAATATAGGATTAGAGAATATCAATTTTTTTTTATTCGTGAGGAAACTAATTATTGGCATTGTTTGAGGATTAGTTCTAATGTCTAGTTATTTAATTAACAAATAAATTATTAAACAAATAAATTTAACAATAATTATTAGTAAAACTACTAATTAGAATAGCTAAACTCATAATTAGTACAGTTACACTGCAATCTAGTACTAATTAGTGCAGTCCAATTACTAATTAATACTAATTATTATAGGGAAATTACTAATTAGTACTAATTAGTATAGGAAAATTACTATTTAGTACTAATTAGTATAAGGAAATTACTTAACCCAATTTTATTTGCAATAAAGACGATAACATGTTCTTTAATTTGCTACAAATTAAATGTATCAAAGAATTTTGTAATCATGTATTTTTAAATCAAAAACAGAATTTTTAATGTTGGTTCATAATTGTCATCAGAGTAAATGTATTATCATAATTTTCAATAGGATTATATCCTCTTTAATATGCTACAAATAAAAGTATTTTGAATTTTTGCTATTAAGCATTTTAAAATCAAAAAAGAAACTTTTAAAATCAGTTAGAAATTATAATCAGAGTCAAAAATTATAAAATTATCATAATTCCCTGGGACCACATCCTCCCTAATTTGCTACAACTAAAAATGTATTAAATAATTTTGAAATCAAACATTTTGTAAAGAAAAGAATGAGGATTCAAAAATCTGTTAATAATTATCATCAAAGAGGATGTATTATCCCAATTCTTCATAAGATCACATTCTCTTTAATTTGCTGCAAATAAAAAGCAACAAAGAATTTTGAAACCTACAATTTTGAAGTCGAAGAAACAGCTTTAAAAAATCGGTTAATAATGATCATCATAGCGGATATGTGTTATCACAATTTCCAAAAGGATCACATCCTCTTTAACTTGCTAGAAATACAATGCATTAAATAATTTTGAAGTCAAGCATTTTGAAACCAAAAAAAAGCATTCAAAAATCGGTCAATAATTATCATCATAGCGGTTGTATCATAACAATTCCCAATAGGAGCCCATCCTCATTAATTCGCTACAAAAAAAACTGTATCAAAACATTTAAAAATTTTGAAATCAAGCATTTCAAAAGCAAAAGATAATTCATAAATCTAATTTTCTTTATTTTCATTCTAATTATTATTAATAATTATTATTAACAATTATTATTATTATTATTATTATTATTATTATTATTATTATTATTATTATTATTATTATTATTATTATTATTATTATTATTATTATTATTATTATTATTATTATTATTATTATTATTATTATTATTATTATTATTATTATTATTATTATTATTATTATTATTATTAATTATTATTATTATTATTATTAATTATTATTATCTTTATTCCAACAAAAACATCTTTGATGCAAAAATTCCGCCAAGTAAAAGTTTTTGCAATTGTACAAATATTAAATTTAATTTCATGATTAACATAAACAAAAAATGAAATTTAATTATTCGTTTTAATAAAAAATTTCTATTTAAGGCAATTTTAATATCTTGGCGCCAATACTTTCATCAATTATAAGTTAGAAAAATTATTGTCGCCAAGATCTCTACGTTTGTCTAAATTTCAAAAAATCTTATTGTTTGGAGAAAAATCCAAATATTTAAAAAAATACGAAATGTATTGAATTTTCCAGAAATGTATATCGAGATATTAACCTAATTAATAATATTCCAGAATATGTTACAAATCCGTTTATGAGTTTAGGCTCTACGTTTATCTAAATGTCAAGTCGCTATTTTTTTAGTTTTCTTTGCCAAAATTCTATAAAAGTATCAAAAATATTGAATAAACTTAACAGAATTCTTTCTTTTATCATTCTTTATCAAACAAAAAAAATTAGCAAAATCGGTTAAGATTTACTTGAGTTATTCGATTTTATCTATAAACAGTCGATATTTTGAGAATATTTATTCGCGGTTTTTACTTGGCGACGATTCTCTATCGTGAATCTTGATTTTTTATAATTTATAATTATCCTTCTTGCTACAAAAAGAATGCATCAACAAATTCTGCACTGTAAAAAGAAGGCATCTCACTTTAAGATACTATTGTTGGCATTTCTAAGTTGTTTCGAAAAAGTTATGAAAAAATGCATTGGTTTCTTAAGATGGAAGATAAAAAATATGATGTTTTAAATATCTTAAAAGTGACTATACAAAAGATTTTAAGATATTTTTTAAGATGTTTCTTTTTGCAGTGTGAAATCAATCATTTCGAAATCAAAAACAGAACTTTTAAAAATTGGATAATAATTATCATTATAACGGATGAATTATCACAATTTTTGAGAGGTTCATATCATGTTTAATTTGATACAAATTGAATACAGCAAAGAATTTTGAAATCCAGCATTTCAAAATGAAAGAAGAAACATTCAAAAATCGTCTTTTAATTATGATCATAGCGCCTATATTTCTGTAGTAATCCACAATCCACTTGTGTGTCATACCACAAATAAACAAATCCCAAAAGAAATCCAAAAAGAAAACAAAATTTCCTCCAAAGGGAATTCCCCCGTCTCTATGTATTCAAGGATAATGAACGCGTAAATTGTCAACAATAAAACAGAACGAACATGATCCTCTCTCGCTGAAGTGCATTGAGAGAACTGATCTCCTCCAGGTGCTGATAGTAATAAACCGTGTAACACAATATACACACGTCTACAAAATGACTATACAGCAAGTCAGACAAACCATGTGCGTTGTCTTTGCGCTTGACTTGTGATTCCCTCCACAAATGAAAATACATTCATATCTGTATACAGAGAAGGTGGTTGTGGTAGAAACGGTATGAGCTACCGGTATATAAGATAATATAAAATCTACACTATTATAGATGACTAAGCATTGGAATCCCCCGTGAAACACGGGGCCAATGAGAGATCGCGGGTGCGCGCCACACATTTATTACGAAAGCATAATAATATCCTGAGAGAGGAGTATCTCTCTCGTATGGTGTCGCGGACCTCTGACGTAGATTATATGAGTATCATTGACGAGTCACGGACCACCCAAAACCCTTCGAGGTGGGGGAACCCCTGACCCCGGTATGCTTTGTAGTGAAGGGAGGTCGCGTTTATAATGCACCGTCAAACCGCCCTGACGACGCATTCGCTCGTTCGCTTCGCCCAAAGCAGACTCGCGGGGGAGCCTCTTTTTATTTTAAAAGAAGATCCTGAGGAGAGAAAGAGGAAATACTCAATTTTTTTACCAAAACAACAAATTTTCAACCAAAACAAAATTTACCTCTTTTTTAAATCGCGCGGAGTAATTTCAGATTCACGTGAACAAGAAATTTTTTTTAATTAAACTTGTGGTCGCGATTCTTATAGACATCCGCGATTTTATCCTCGAATCTTCTGATTATTGCAGGCAGTGAACAAAGATTTAGTTTCTTTCTAAATCAGGCTTGCTAACGAAAATATAAACAACCGGAGGCACCAGCATTTCGAAATTTTTTGTTATTTTTATTTGAATAAATTAAAAAGCTGAGTAGTGATTAAGACAATTGTGACCAACAGAAAAAGGTTAGCACAATTGTTACGTTTCTGTTTATTTGAATATAAGAAGAAGAAAAACAACCCTTTTGAAGATCACAATGGCAGTCGCAGCGGCACAGAAAAATCGTGAGATGTTCGCTATCAAGAAGTCTTATAGCATTGAGGTGAGTTTCAAAATTTGGAGTAACAATTTTTGCTTTTTTTACGAACAGTAAAGGGAGGGATATTTTTTGGGGTGGATTCTTCGTTAGGAGAAGGTAGAAATATTTTTGGGGAAAATTGGACTTTCAAATACAGGTTCTAACATGTACGCGGACATGTTAGGAAATTCTTCTTGAAAAATTTCGAAAAATACAAAAATTTAGTTTTTTGATCCTGTTTCATCACTATAGAGTGAAATTCGTTTGGAAATATTATTTCTTCTCTTTCTTTTTTTAAAAGAATTTCATTTTTATTACGAGAAACTTTGTTGTCTTAAGGGGGTTGCAATTTAAATTTTGAAATATTTCTTTCCCTGAAGTAAAATTTTCTTTCTGATGATTCTAATTATTGCTATCGATTAAAAATTTTTGTTTTTTATTGTACAACTTTTGTTTTTGTTTGAAAACTTAGTATTACTTTGAAAACATTGTTTTAGTTCGAAAACTTTGTTTTTACTTAAATTTCAGTTGCAAACTTTTCTTGTCAGTTGAATTTTTGATTACAAAAAGTCTGAATTTTTTAGTTCAAAAACTTTGTTTTTAGATCTAAAATTTTTATTTTAGTATTTAAATTGGTTGTAGTCTAAAAAATTTTGCTTTTGATTTGAAATTTTGTTTATAGTTTTAGAAATTTTGTTTTTAGTTCTAAAATTATGTTTTCAGTTTTCAAAATTTGATTTTTATTCCTAAAACTTTCAATTCAGTTGCAAAACTTTGATTTTAATTCTAAAAATTTCTCTTCAGTTTTATTTTTCGTTGCAAAATTTTGTTTTCAGTTGAAAAACACTATTCTTTCTAAAATTTGGATTTTAGTTAAATGTTTAAGTGAAAAACTTGTTTCGATTTTAAAATTTTTATTTTAATAAGAATAAGAAAATTAAGTTTCTAATTTTTAAACTTTATTTAATTTTTAAAATTTTATCTTCAGTTCTAAAACTTTACTTTAACTTTTAAAACTTTATTTTTACTTGCAAAACTTTATTATAAGTTTAATTTATTTATAACAAAACTTTTTTTTAGTTTAAAAACTTAGTTTTCAATTCTAAAACTTTAATTTTTGTTGAAAAATTTTCCTTTTAAAAAGAAAACTTTGATTTTAGTTGCAAATCTTTGTTTTTATTTGTAATTTTTTTTTCCTAGTTGCAAACTTTTATTTTTAGTAAAATTTTTATATAAAAAACTTTTGTTTGCTTTAAAGTTTTATTTTTAGTAGCAAGGCATTATTTTCAGCTGAATTATGGATATCGAAATTTTACTTTTTGTGAACAAAACTTTCTTTTTAACTTTGAAACTTTATTTTAAGTTCTGACAATTTATTTTAAATTATGAAACTTTATTTTAAGTTTGAAAATTTATTTTACATTATGAAACTTTACATTAAGTTGTAAAACTTTATTTTAAATTATGAAACTTTATTTTAAGTTCTAAAAGCTTATTTTAAATTGTAAAACTTTATATTAAGTTTTGAAATTTTATTTTTTTCTGAAACTTATTTTTTAGTTCATAAAATTAGTTGTCAGGTCCAATCATAAATTTTTACTTGTAAAATTTTGCCATTAAATGAGCAAATATTTTTTTTCCTAAAACTTTGCTTTCTGATTTAAAACACAGTTTTTCAATCTAAAGCTCAGTTTTTTTAATTAAAACTTTATTTCTAAATCCAAATCTTCGCTTTTAAATCTAAAACTTGGTTTTTTTATTTAAAAGTTAGTTTTCAAATCTACATAAATTTAAGTTTTTTTATTTAAAAATTAGTATTTAAATATAAAACTTAGTTTTTTTTATTTAAAACTCAGCTTTTAAATCTAAAACATTTTTAACTTGTCTGAAACTTTGTTTATAATTTAAAACACAATTTGTAGGTTTTAAAATATATTTTAATTCTAAAGCTTCGTTTTTAGTCGCAACATTTAATTTATTGTTTAAAACTCCGATCCTGTTTTTTCTCTATCTTTATTTATTTATTTACTAGTAAATTAAACATCTTATAAAAAATAAAAAATAAAATCCAAAACAGAAATTGTTTTTATTTTTAAATAATTCGTAAACATAGTTACGTTTTGATTTTAAAAATAGAACTCTAATTAAGAATTCAAGCGTAAGAAGTTCGAAATTTCCGCCTTTAGAGATAGACTGTATCTCTGACGTGAATCTCAACAGTTCTCATCGTGCCTTAAACTCACCAACTCGTTTACCGCTATTTTTTATCATATATGAACGGCTTTTCCGTTAATTTTTTCACAACTTTTTATTAATTTTTATGTATAAAATATTTTTCTCAACATATATAAAAATATATCTACGTGACTTTATTCACGTTTTTTTTATTCTCCGCAAGACTACTTAATTATTACGTCAGAAACTACTTTTATTCATTTCATATCCTTTTCTTTCTTTCACTCTTTCTTTTTCTATAATAAAAAAAAATTTCATTCTATCATTTTCACATAATATTTCATAATGACACTATAAATGTCTGCAATTCGTCGTAAATATCCCTACTATAATGAGGATCAAATAGATTCATGTAGGAAAAAAAACAAATTTCTTACGTGAAAGTGTAATGCTTTCGATTATCGCACACATTTTGTTACATAAAAATTCTTTTAACCTTGTAGTAAAATAAACACAGAATTTTTTAAAAGTAAAGAATCATTTTTCCCCTACAGAAATTTTCATTCAATTATTTTCAATTGCGATTTTTTTCACAAAAATGGAATATTTTTAATTTTCTTTTTTTTGCTGGTTCAGAAAAAAACGATTAATAATAGAAAAATAATTGAAGAACAATATTTTCTCGAGCACCTATATATCCTACTAATTCTCGTATTTTTTTATGGAAAGTAATTTTTTAATCGTGGAATAATAAAATTATTTAAAATAAAACAGATTTTTTCTATTGATAAAGAAATAATAATACGATATATTATATAACAGTTTTTTTTCATTAGATAATTGTTCTTTTGAAACTTATTAACTTCCTGATTGTAATTAAATTCCATGAAAATCTATTTTTAATTTTATAACAGTTTTTTTATAATAAGATGAATTTTTATTGCTTGCTAATTACACACGGCGGGAAATTAACATTCGAATGACATATAGAAAAAATAAATAATTTGATGAAGTTTAATGATTGCATGTGATATATAAGTGTGAGAATAAAATATTCCTCGAAACTCTTCTATAAAATTACAAAAATAATAAAGTCTTGTCCCGTCTTTGAATTAAATAAATAAATATAAACGTAAATAAATAGATAATAATTGAAAACAAAAATAAAAAAAAATTAATAATAATAATTATTTAATTTAATATAATTTTATTTAATTAATAATAATAATAATAATAATAATAATAATAATAATAATAATAATAATAATAATAATAATAATAATAATAATAATAATAATAATAATAATAATAATTATATTAATAATACAATAACAATAACAACAACAACAATAGAAAAAAGTAAAGTTAGAAAAAAAAATCTCTCACGTTGTGGTGATTTTAACGATGCAAAGAGAATGTGACCATCGTTACATATTCGTCGCGTGACTATTACTTTGTGCTTTTATTTATTTATATTTCTTTTTTTTCAAGACGTTCCAGAATCACTTTCACTATATTTCGTCTTAATATGTATATAAATCAAAAAACCCAGTCGAATAATTTAATCGCATGTGAGTCTATTTTTTATTTTATACGCAATTTACACATTTTGTGCGCCTTCACCTCTCGTGCATATAATTATCGCATAATATCTAGTCTCTCGCTAATGAATGACAAACTCATTTGTAATGTTGCATTTCATAAATAAACAATATTCCATAACCAGTATTTTTCAATACAAAAAAAATGATAATTTATTCATGCAAAAATAATAGTAATTTATTAAGTTTGTTTACTTATTTATTTTTTATCTATTTATTTAATTTAGTTTTTAATTATATTTTTTTATTAGCTATATTTGTTTATTTGTTGTATTTCTCTATTTATTGCATTTGTTTATTTGATATATTTATTTATTTAGTATATTCGTTTATTTATTATAATTGTTCATTTATTACATTTGTTTATTTATTATAATTGTTTATTTGTTGAATTTGTTTATTTATTACATTTGTTTATTGGTTATATTTATTTATTGTAATTGTTTATTTATTACATTTTTTTATTAGTTATAATATTTATTTATTTATTTATTATACACTGGAGTCTTGGTTATACGGACCACTCGGGTGGGTCAATAAAAATTTTGAGGTTAGGTTATATCAAGGGGAAAAAAGGATCCAGTAATAGGTACGCTACTGACATCATATCGACTCAAGCACGACCCTTCCCTTCACCCCTCATCCCGTTTCAGCGCCATCACATTCCGTATAACCAAGACTCCAGGTTGCTAATTTATTGTATTTTTTTATTTGTTACATTTATTTATTGATTATATTTGTCTATTTATTATAATTATTTATTATATTCTTTATTTATTAAACTTATTTATTTAACTATTTTATTTCCTATATTCGCTTGTTAATTATATTTGTTTATTTATTTCGTTATTTTGAAAAATTAACAATAAACTGATGACATTATAAATTTACTCATAAAATTGAAAGGAATAATTTTCGAAAAAAATTTTCTTTTGTTATTAAAAATTCAAATGTTGCGTAGTATATCAATAATTATAGAAAATATATATAATATGATAAGTGAAGAAATCCATAGCCTCGAGTTTACTTTGTTTCGATTCAGGAAAAATAGTTATATATATATATATATATATATATATATATATATATGTATACAATTATGTCCTTGTAAAATTATTGTAAGGTCAGTAAATAGCTTTTATAAATACAGTTGGAAACTATAAATTTATGGACCAGTTTATAGTTAATTTCTTTTATGCTTAAAAAAGAAACAATAGTTTAACCTCTCTGCATTGAAATTTTGTAATT